ATTTTCATCAGATTTCATTTCCTTCAGGAAGCGAATCATCTGTCGCCCGTAGGAAAGCAAAAAAAAAAAAAAAAAAAGTTACTGCCTGATTAACAAGGAAATAAAGTTGTCAAAGATATCACATTACCATCATATTCCCCTTTACGCTTTGGTACATTAAGACATACAAGACCGTAACATTTGGATAGCTTTGCGCAATGTATCCTGGGATTGCCTTATCTATGACGCATATATGCAATCCTGCCTTGAAATCTGGCCAAAACAATGGCTCTTTTAATGGAACAGTATTTGCATTTGGATACCTAAAAGCATTACCTGGTTGTGCAGCTCTACAGGTTTTGGAACAAAACCGCTATCTATAAAACTCATTCAGATTGTGATAATGAAGAGATACTCACTTGCTCCTGATCTCACAATAAACTGTTGCAGCCCAAGATAAATGTCCAGATCCTCCTGGAGCACCGGAAACTAAAAACACACACACACACGTTTTTATATGGTTCAAATCTTACTTGAATAATAGAACTTTCTCAGTTTGTGTGGATGGGTGCTCATCCTCTAAATCAGTGTTGACTTGTGGAGTTCCTCAAGGTTCTATCCTTGCTCCAATTTTATTTTCTTTGTATATGCTCCTGTTGGGTTCCATTTTTAATAAGCAAAAAGTGTAGTTTCATTGTTATGCTGACGACATGCAAATTTATGTGCCTTTTAAGCAAAATGACAACCAGAGTTTGAGTGCTTTAACTGCTTGTCTGTCTGATATTAAGGCTTGGATGTCTCTTAATTTTTTGAATCTCAATGAGAGTAAGACTGAGGCAATTGTGTTCGGTTCTTTAGCTGTATCTGGCAACATACAGCAAGTGCTGGGTGATCTGGCTGCATATGTCAAGCCCTCTGTAAAAAATTTGGGTGTTGTGTTTGATTCTGCTTTGACTTTTGATAAGCAAGTAAACGCAGTAGTTAAATCAATTTTTTTTCAGCTCAGACTCCTTGCTAAGGTGAAGGGTTTTTTAACTTGTGCTGAGTTCGAGAGGGCTATACATGCTTTTATCTCATCTCAACTAGACTACTGCAATTCAATGTATATTGGTATTAACCAATCATGTATGAATCGCCTACAAACAGTACAAAATGCAGCTGCTAGACTTTTGACTGGCACTCGCAAATACGAACATATTACCCCTGACCTACTCTCTTTGCATTGGCTGTCAGTCCATTTTAAAATAGTTTAAAATTTTACTTTTTGTTTTTAAGGTTTTAAATGGACTGGCACCTTCGTATCTTTCTGACCTTTTGAGTTTACACAGTCCAGCTAGATGTCTAAGGTCATCGAATCAGAATCTCTTATTGGTCCCTAGATCTAGGTTGAAGAAAAAAGGTAACCGGGCTTTTGCCATAGCCGGCCCTAAACTGTGGAACAGCCTTCCAATCTCTATTAGAACAATTGCAAGAGCATCCCTTTTTAAAACAAGGCTTAAAGCCTACCTCTTTGAGAATGCTTTTGGTGTATGAGCCAACAGGACTTTATTTCAAATTATTATTTGTTTGTCGTGTCTTACCATTTTATGTATTTTGATTCCTTTTAAACTATATTGTTCAGCACAATGGTCAACCATTGTTGTTTTATTGTGCTTTATAAATAAAATAAATTAAATTAAATTAAATGAGCCTCCGTCGAGGACAGCAAGCCAAGTTTGTTTACCATTAACTATTCATACTGGATGGGCAGGTGAACTCGTGAAATATGGTTGATTATAGGGCTGGGACAATAAATCGATGCATCGCGATTCGTGGATCGATTCTGAGATTTTCGGAACGCATCGTGATTCTCTCTCGAATCAATTCTGAGTAGACTTGTGCGTATTCGGTATTCGGTAATGCGATATATCACGGTAATTAATATGCACGATATTGTTATCGTGGGCACTTCTAAATACCGTGAATAATTCCTGTGCTGGGCCTCCAGGATCTGCTGCTGGATGAGGTATTGCTGGTGTAAAGCCTGAGGTAGAAAGGGTGGGGCCGGGATGTCCTGGAACGGTGGTGCTGGTATGTGGTTGAGGGGTGGATGTAATGCCGCGGCTGGCTGGTGCGCGGGGCCGTGGTGATGGCTCATTCCTGTCTGAGATTGTCCTGGATGGGGCATTGGGAAATCAACAGGGATCTGGGCCTGGGGGCCTACGTGGAAATGCCGGCAAGAGGTAGCATGATTGTGCTGATGCCTGTTAAAGTGAGATCCTGCAACAACAATGACATCATAGCGAATTATAAATGAGATTAAACCGCTGCTTGAGGCCGGCCGTCGTCCTCTCCTGAACTTCCAGAAGAAATCAATCAATCATCAGCAGTGGGGTGTGATGGCAAATGAAGAGTGAAGGTGAGTGAATTGTGTGTGAACAGTGCGTTTGCGTTAACCTTTTGGTTTGGGAGTTCGCTATATTCACAGTTAGTGTTTAGGATTGGGAATCGAATTTACTATCGGATATATAAGACAGAGTATGAACAGGTAACTGAAGTCAGACTTGCAACTAGTTCAGCCTCTCACATTTTGTGGTTCAGTTTTGTCCAATTTAGTTTATATTTCTTCTATCCAATCACTTTGTCACTCTACAACAATACCCCTATTTTTTTATCTTAAATAGTCATATTTCCAATAGCATGATGCACAAGTCTAGTTCACATGGCATATATCAACTGGTTATGAGTCATGTGGCCAGTTGCATAAACACTTGTCTTAACTAGTCTTACTAACTAGCACTTAGCCAAGCCAGTTTTACATTTCAGGTTCGAATTAGACAAGTCTACCTTTTTAAGTAACTGATCCAAGCAAAAACGAATAAATCCCACACACCATCCATACTCGCAAACGTATCAGAAATAGATTTATTCACAACGTTTCAGTCCTATGACCTTCACCAGGCATAAGTAACTGATCTAAAAAAAGATATTGGAGAAAAGTTTGACTATCTTGTAAGACTAGTCTAAAATGTTTATGCAACAGGTCACTGAACTTTTCATTGTAGAATACGGTTCTTGGTTTCCAACTGGTTCCCAAACCAATAAAGGACAAACCTAAAGATAAAAGATTACACCGGTAATGTTACGAAGCGCTAAAACACATATAGACCTAAACTTAGCGCTGGTAGAACATCCTGATGGATAACATAACTGTTTGTCGTGATCAGATCCATCAGTGACTTTTCAGAAGTCTGAGCTTTTCTTGACAGGCTACTTTGTGATTGAGTTGTCCAATGAAATTGGCTGTGTTTAACTGGTTTGGGAAATAATCATGCATATATCAACCGTATTCTACAGCTGTGTGAACAGAAGTGTCTCCTCACCTCGGCACAGCAGATGTGAACGCTCTAGTTATTTAGCGACTGCCGAAAGCGGACTGCGAGATGCGTTCCTGGAAAGCTGAAGGAATCCACAGCTGCATTAGGTTCTCAGCCAAATGTCTGAGCGAGCAGTAAAGGTCTGGATTTAGACCAAAGCTGCTGTATTTTTATGCAAGTTGTTAGCCTGTCACACCTTATCAATGAAGGGATTTGCGAATTTCTAAAGACAGGACTTTGGATACATGTGTGGGAACTATTTTCCAAAGCAATATCCATGTGCTGGCAAAACAAAATCCCAAAGCCAATGACATCTCAAAGTAGGACATCTTCCTGAATCAACATCCTCTGTTGGTTCTGGAACAACAATCATAGTCCAAACCTCATCCAACGCCACTCCTGAAATGACTGAGGGTTAAGAATGCTGTTGAAGCACATTAGTCTGAAATCTGATTGGTTGATAGGAATGGTTTTCTAGGACTGACTCTTCATCCTTAGGAACATGTTTACTGTGATTTATCCAAGTGGAATGATTATCCCTTCAAGTCTAAACCTTCATAGAAGCAAAACGACATCAGAAGCAGCAGACATCACAGGAACCCAAGGCTTTCGCTGGTGCAGGGGCAAGACATGCAGTTAGCATGCTTTATTGTAAGCTGACATGTGAACATTAATGTATAGAGCAACAATTACACTCCATAAAAAGTCCTGGCATTTCTGGAACGAACGTAACTTCTATTGCAAAAGACAAATTTTATATTAAACAGGCTGCATAGAAGTTAAATGTCATTCATTCAGAAGCCCTACTACTTATATTTCACTGGATTAATAACAAAAGACAGGTGAATGTTTGAGACCGAGTTTGTCGTGTTGTGATGTTGGTATCTGCAGGCTACTTATAAGACGACAAATGAATGAGGAAATGAATCAATGCACCACTTTATGGGTTTGAGAACACTTCACTATTCATTTATGAGAAAGAAAACCAAGTTATTTCAGTAGAAATGGAAAAAAAATGAGACACAGAAAAGCAGAATTACCCATCTCTCCACTCTACTTTCTGCTGGCAGATACACACAGACTTCAGAATGAAGGAATCGAAAAATACTTAAGCCTCAATCACCAGACGAAATCATGTATAATGTGTCAAAGTCACACAGAGAAATGGGACGTGCCCATCGCTCGCTGTGTGTTAGTGAGAAAAGATTCAATCAGAGATGAAATGTGTGGATACCTGGACACGCCACGTTTACATTGCATCCGGATCGTTTACAGTGAGAAGACTTAAAGGTGCAGCGGTAAGACCGTGATTGAAACGGATCTAATTCGACTTTATTTTTCATTTGTGGACGTCTACGGTTATCGTGAACGCACACTGCACCTTTAAGTGCCTCAGTGATGAGCGTATATGACCACAGATCAACTCATTGAGGTCTCATGATGAAAAATAAAAATAAAGGCGAGGAAATCAGTCTATCGGTCACAGCAGAGGGAGGAGGTGGGGGGAGACAATAAATGGAAATCAGCAAGAAGCACACTGGAGGTTAGGAAAAATACTATATTCTTTATTGAAAAATATTAGTATATGTGGATTTGTGTCATAATAAGTCCATGCAACAAATAAAACAACATTGACCAATAGCAAGGCCCACCATGCTCAGTACAGGGTTAACAGAACAAAAGCAACATCCAATGAGCAGATGCATTGGCAGAAACAGAAATCAAAAAAGCTTCATGAAATCAGTGATGGAGATAAAGTTAGCAGCTCGTTTAGACAATCGTAGGTGTAAATGCTCAACAATAATTTTTTAACACATCAGCTTTTTGTTTGATGAACTGCAGGTAGTGTCATTCTGAGCTAAAACACTTATTTTAGACTTAAATTTAATACAAATGAGCAATAAAAGACTCCAGTTAATACCTGAAATGATGTATTTTTATGTTTTATTTGTTGTCCGTTGAGCTCAGGCCTGAATTAGCATCTTTAGCTTTCTGAGGTAAAACCAAACCTCACAAATAAACCTCAACAAACACATTCAGCGCTCAAATACACGATAAAACGAATCGACAATCTATCAGATAATCCGAATGTACCTCATATAAGCAAATTAATTGATTTTAAATGCATTTTAAAGTGAAATCTGACGCGGAACGCGTCCGTCGCTCGGCTAGCTAACAGACTAGCCGCAGATCCGAATCAAACCTCACCGATTCGCTTAAAAAATACAAATAGCCTGGTTTTTATTGAATATCTACTCAGTAAGGATCTACAGCAGCATATAGATCATTCGTGGGGTTTAATAATCTTGCATTAAACACGCAAAAGGCCCTTACATGTGATCTGATCGTGAAATAATGCGTTATAAATACCTCTATTTCTCACTGAGCCAAAGACAGGAAGAACCAAATATCCGACATGAACTAACACCATCCTTCAGATCTTCTGTTTGATGAATACAGACTGTAAACAGAGGAATAAATAATGTACATTCAGCGGGATCATATGCAGTCACCGCGAGGACAAAGAACAGCGGCGGTGGCGTTCGATTCGCCAACAAGTCGCTCTATTGAATCGATTCTTCTTTGCGATTCGATCGAGCCGATTCGCAAAGCATTTGTACCTGTAAGGATTCGAACGATCCGTCCGAGCGAACCGAATGAATCAAACTGACCAAAGCTCGAAATCAGCAGACATAATCTGACCACTAGAGGCGCCACTGAGAACAAAATTATTATGATGATTATTTAAATATCAATAACTACACCACAGTTGGTCTGGACGAGCTTTAATTGCAAAAAAAAAAATATTTTACAGTACCATGTTTCATTGGTTCACACTAGCACAGCTGCCAATGAATTAAAAATAAAGCAGCAAATTAAAAATTCATACAAAGTTACATAAAGCTATTAAAGGCAAAAAATTATTATTCAAGTGCTTGGACATTTACAGCTTGTGGTCTTACCATTTGCATTAATAATAACAATAAAAATGAAAAAAGTAACACTTTGAATTCAATTTTCATTAAAAAATAAAATAATTTGCATAAAAAAATGAATAAAATATACACAAAATTAATTGAATTCAATGCAATGAGACACTTTGGTTGTTCATATTTTGGTCCACAACTACTTTCCTTTTTCTTATGACAATTTGACACAAACACACACAAAAGCAAGCAACTGTAAACCACAGAAATAAAGTGTTTTACAGTCAAGTGTACAATCCATTGGTTGTAACAGTCTTCATTTAACATTTAAAAACAACCTTGCTGAAATAAGACGCGTGTACTTGCATATGTCGGTTACTGCACTAATATTATCAGATAGAAATGTTGGATGGTTTGATGGATAGGGATGCATACGCTCTTAAAAATAAAGGTTACAGGAGGGTTTTTTCACAGCAAAGACCCATTATTTTGTCAGTGAACCATCTTTTTCTTAATGTAAAGAACATTTTAATAATCTAAAGAACCTCTTTTTACTATAATGCAATGGAAAAGGTCCCATGGAAGTTAAAGGTTGCCAGTGTTTTGAGGGTGTCGAAAGGGCCATTAGGGACCATTCCCTTCACGATTCACTGACACTGCATAAACTCTGAGTAGGAACCTTTAGTTGTATAATTAACCCCATGAGGTCTGTAAGGAAAGAGAAACCAATTTTTACACTGCCACATTCAGTACAATAACTAATATATATATGCAGCCACTGCAGAGCGAATATTGTTGCACTGCCGCTGTATTTATCGTGATGACATTATATACTTCTCTACTGCTGTGCATTATGAAAAATGACCTTTTGCCCAGTAATATTATAAAAGTGAAGAGAATCAGTTGTGGGAAGGATTGCATGTTACTGCAAAAGTGAAAAATCCACTGCGCGTCCTTCCAAATAATACAGTGCGTTCTGTCTCACTCTGTGCTGCCGTAGTGGTTCGGCGGATCTGACGTCTCCTGAAGACTCGTGTGCGAGATCTCCTCATCTGTATCTGACGTGCGTTTGGCGCTGAACAGATCTGATACAAAGAACACCTGCGTAGAGAGAGAGGCGTGTTGGTTACAGCATGGCATGCATTTATTAACGAGCGTACAGCCTCACTTACAGTAAACAGTGCCACGGCGGCTCCCTGTACGAGTCCAGAGAGAACATCACTCCAGTGGTGTTTATAATCAGAGACGCGCGACAGACCCACGTAAAGAGACGCCGCGAGGAAAGAGAACTGGAGAGTCGGCCGAAGCAGTCGAGCCCAACTTGCCCTCAGTCTAGACTGGAGATACAGCTGAAAAGAAAACATATTAGCATATATGTATGTATGTGTATGTTAAGTGTTTTTTGAATGTATTGAGCTGCCATGACAATTTAATTAATAAAGTTTGCATTAAATCTAAATGTATATGATAAAGGCAAGACACTACAGGTGAATGTAAACTAATAGATATCACTATACCTCTCCAGTTGATTAATATTTAAATGAGGCATTATCTAATTAAATATGCATCAATTTGAGTTCATTTCCAGCACTGAAAATTGGATAAAGCCAGGTTCAAAATTCCAGTTTGATTTTATTGTCATATTAGAGTTAAAGGTTTTTCCAGAGGAGATTTTGGATTTCTCTTTGCATCACTCCATAAATCAGAAAATATGGTCACCTGTTACAATGTTACAATAGTTGTCACGGTTCTGTTTCATTATAATGGACTTTTAGTGTGTTTTCATAAGTTTCCGGTTTCCTTTGTTCAGTTTTCCCGCCACTATTCAGTTGTCATGGTAATTAATTTAATCTGCACAGGTATTTGTCATTTTACCCTCATTTTCCCAGTATTTGTTACTTTGTTTCCACCCTTTAGCTCTCTGGTATTGCTGTCTCGCATATTGTCTGTCTATCTTGAGTTATTTAATAAACCTTGTTTTATTTCTATCATCATCATCTTCCCTGGAGTTTGTGACATTAGTGCATAAAAAACAATGGTTTTGCCTAGTATCTCGCCTTGAATTTGATGAAACAGGTGAAATATTTTCATAAAAACACACTTACAGCAAGGAACAGCATACAGTACATGGAGAACGATGAGTGGCCAGAATAAAAGGAAAGCCTGTCGGTAGAAGATTGTCCGTCATAATTAGCAAATCAGATGCAATCAGAACAACATGTTCTTTTCTAAATCAAACAATGTGCTTGCAGGTTCAATGCAAACGTGTAATAAATGTTACATTCTGAATGTAAGTGCTAGTGCTGGTCATATTGCACCTCAGCATCTGAGTAAAGAAATGCATGCGTTGCATTGTTTTGCACTCACCGGCCTTCATTGATGATGACTGGATCTCCTGTGCACGTGAAGTTCTCAATATAACCGGATTTACAGTCAATGAGGCTCCAGTGCGGTTTACACACAGTCAGAAAGTGCGGCCGCAGTCGGCCGATGGTGTATTTGGCGATGTCGGTCAGAGACTGGCTCAGCGCCGCTCCAAACACGAATGATCCCACGGCCTTATACACACACGCTATATACTCGTAACTCAAAGAAACTCTGGACCGCAGATATATGGGAAAACACTCACCGAAGATTATCTGTGGTGAAGAGAAAAAAATGCATGATGTTTTGACCAACTCTAATGGCAAGAGAAGCTCTGAAGAAGAGTACTGGTTAAGAAAGCAATCGAACGAACACTTACTAGCAACAGTGCGAATGGAATGATTATTCCCATCAGTAACTGGTAGGATATGGTATCTTCTTTAAAGGGGTACCTGATGGAGTCATCGCTGCAAAAAAAGCCTCTTTTGAATGGCGTGTGCTGAATATTCAGTATCGCAAATGGAAGTCCAGCTGCAACAAAGAGAGAAACCACACAAATGGAGGTTCACAGGCCTGTTTATATCACCGACATGGGGTTTATTAGAAGCGTTTCCTGCTGTGATCGGTCTCAAAGGAGAACCAATGTTCTCATCTGAAAGTGTCAGTGCAGTTAAAGGTGGCATATCATGAAAATCTGACTTTTCCAGGTTGTAAGTGCTATAATCAGGTCCCCGGTGCATCTACCAACCAAGGAAACGTGAAAAAGATTAACCCAGTAACTATTTTGGGAAGCCTTTTTCTGCAAGCGTCTGATTTCGCTCACGAAAACAGCGTGTTTCTGCTTCCACTCAAAATAGGCATATTCAAAATAATATAATAAATGATCTGTGGAGTATTTTGAGCTGAAACTTCACAGACAAATTATGGGGACCCCAGAGACTTATATTACATATTGTAAAAGGGGGAATAATATGTCTCCTTTAAATCGATGATATTACTGAATGTCGTTTGGTCAATTGGTGAAGGGCCTGAGGTCGAGCGCTTTAGGAACAGACCATATCATGTGGTGATGTATGTTTTGTTAGTTGTGTGTAGTATGTTGTTGGAGAAGAAAAGCGTCTTAAGAGATGCCATAATGCTAAATAATCAAATTACTTCACACTGTTTAAATCAATTGTTCAACAATAGCGGTATTCTGTCATCATTCTGGCATTCATTTACATCACATTAGTCCAGACAGTGGATTCCTTACTGTGACCTTTAAATGAATTAGGAATCACAGTCTCTCCGCTGAAGAATTTCCTCGTCCACAAACATTCTAAGCATTTTTCTAATAATGCACATAATATAGAGCTAACAGTGGCTTGAGCATCTGGAATATGTTGCATGTACAGTAGGGTTAACTAGCCTATTATAAGTGCTTTAAACATTTATGATTGTGTGAAGAAAACAAGATAAGAAGTCTTGTTTTCTGATAAACTGATTTAAATGATTAAAACAAGAATGAAAAATCAACCTAATTCAACACACACACACACACATATATATATATATATAGTTTTGTTTTTTAAATGTTTTTATTTTATTTATTATTTGCAGTGCATGCAAAATTTAATGCCATGACCTTATGAATTTAAGACTTTCTGCTCTGATTTAAGACCTTAATTTGTGGAAGAGTTAAGACTTTTTATGACCTGCAGAAACTATTTCTACATCATGGAACGTTTTTTTTAATTGGACAACATTTTCTAACGTTATTACTTTTTTTTTTTCAGAACGTTCAAAGAACTTTCAAAAGTAAGGTTCTTATATGTTTCCAAAATGATAAAATGGAACGTTCCCTTAATGTTTTCTCAAACGTTCGCATAACCAATCATTTTTTTAAATAAAAAACACTACGTTCTGAGAACATTAAAAAAATAACGTTTTCATAACTTAATGGCAACGTTTGTAAAACGTTCTCCGAACACTTTTGTTCGCTGGGCCGTATGGATATAATGTAAACACAACTTATCTGTGAACACTTACAACTGTGCTTTTATCTCACCTCATAAAAGAAACTAAAAAACTATATCTCGATACAAGCTCGCACATTTGTTTTTCTGAGCAATAATGAAAGATTATATTGCAATACGTACTGTAAATGTGCAGTGACCTATATTGAGTAATATTGAATATGCATGTGCGTGTGTAACAGATATGAATGTTTCATCGATGCACGCGACAGTGTAACATTCAGATCCATAAGGATCTCAAGCAGTAACAATAATAACGCAGATTTAATCAACAACACCATCAGCAGCTCAGAGAGAGGCCAGAGTGTAATGTGAATGAAGTCTTACCGAGCAGCAGACAGCTGACATCCACACAAAAGCCGAAGATTCCTTTCGTCTCGAACATTCTCAGTTCCGCAAACACACTTCTGGAGCCTTTGGAGAACTTATAGTTGAGCATTTATTTACATCTGATAAAACAATGCAGCTCTTTAACTTCTAAACAGGAACGCATCAGTTAAACTGTAGATAATCTGGTCATCGAGAGAAGAAACACCCGGCTGCTTCTCCAGTCACCTTTCCGTGTTTTTCGTTATGAACGAGCGTGAATCATATGAGTTTTATGGCGATGGTCCGATGTTTGTCACCGTTAGATCTCCGGTTACTTCATATCGCATGATGATGAGGTCAGTCCCTCCGTTTGTCAATCATCTACAGGCTCCGCCCACCTCTTCCTCTTCCTTTTCCTCACTAGAGTCACTGATGGTGAAGCAGAGCTTCAGCATTCTCATTCATATTTCATAACATTCCAAATACCGTTTAAAATACAAAATACACAAGTCACATTTATTTATAGCCATTTATACAATACAGGTTGTTTCAAAGCAGCATGGCAGTAATAAACAGGAAAATAACAGTATTTAAAGGATTTATAGATTTAAATGTCATTCGATTTTGTTCCATTACAAGATTCAAACATTGGTCGGTTTGGTTTGATTAAGAGACTTAAATATCGGTCAGTTTTGTTCGAAAAAAGACTTAAATATCGGTCGGTTTGGTTTGATTAAGAGACTTAAATATTGGTCAGTTTTGTTCGATTAAGAGATTTAAATATTGGTCGTTTTGTTCTAGTTATAGATTTAAATATCGGCCGGTTTTGTTTGGAAAAAAAGACTTAAATATCGGTCAGTTTTATTCGGAAAAAAAAAAAAACTTAAATATCGGTCGATTTTGTTCAGTTAAGAGATTTAAATATTGGTTGTTTTGTTCTAGTAAGAGATTTAAATATCGGTCGGTTTTATTCGATTAAGCGACTTAAATATCAGTCAGTTTTTTTTTATTAAAAGATTTAAATATCGGTTGTTTTGTTCTAGTAATAGATTTAAATATCATTCGGTTTTGTTCGATTAAGAGATTTAAATATTGGCAGATTTTGTTAGATTAAAAGGTATAAATGTTGGTTGGTTTTGTTCTAGTAAGAGATTTAAATATCAGTCGGTTTTATTTGATTAAGAGATTTAAATATCATTCGGTTTTGTTCGATTAAGAGACTTAAATATTGGTTGTTTTGTTCTTGTTATAGATTTAAATATCATTCGGTTTTGTTCGATTAACAGATTTAAATATTGGCCGATTTTATTCGATTAAAAGGTATAAATGTTGGTTGGATTTGTTCTAGTAAGAGATTTAAATATCGGTCGGTTTTATTCGATTAAGCGACTTAAATATCAGTCAGTTTTTTTTTATTAAAAGATTTAAATATTGGTCGTTTTGTTCTAGTTATAGATTGAAATATCAGCCGGTTTTGTTCTATAAAAAGACTTAAATATCGGTCGGTTTTGTTCGATTAAGAGATTTAAATATCGGACAGTTTTATTTGATTAAAAGATTTAAATATTGGTCGGTTTATAGATTTAAATATCAGCCCATTTGTTCGATTAAGAGACTTAAATATCAGTCAGTTTTGTTTAATTAAGAGATTTAAATATTGGACGTTTTGTTCTAGTTATAGACTTAAATATCAGTAAATTTTGTTTAATTAAGAGATTTAAATATTGGACGTTTTGTTCTAGTTATAGACTTAAATATCAGTAAATTTTGTTTAATTAAGAGATTTAAATATTGGACGTTTTGTTCTAGTTATAGACTTAAATATTGGTCGGTTTTGTTTGAAAAAAAGACTTAAATATTGGTCGGTTTTGTTCGATTAAGAGATTTAAATATTTGTCATTTTGTTTTAGTTATAGATTGAAATATCGCTCATTTTGTTTGATAAAAATACTTAAATATCGGTTGGTTTTGTTTGGAAAAAAGACAAATATCGGTCGGTTTTGTTCGATTAAGAGATTTAAATATTGGTCGTTTTGTTCTAGTTATAGATTGAAATATCAGCCGGTTTTGTTCTATAAAAAGACTTAAATATCGGTCGGTTTTGTTCGATTAAGAGATTTAAATATCGGACAGTTTTATTTGATTAAAAGATTTAAATATTGGTCGGTTTATAGATTTAAATATCAGCCCATTTGTTCGATTAAGAGACTTAAATATCAGTCAGTTTTGTTTAATTAAGAGATTTAAATATTGGACGTTTTGTTCTAGTTATTGTTTGAAAAAAAAGACTTAAATATGGGTCGGTTTTGTTCGATTAAGTGAGTTAAATATTTGTCATTTCGTTTTAGTTATAGATTGAAATATCGCTCATTTTGTTTGATAAAAATACTTAAATATCGGTTGGTTTTGTTCGGAAAAAGACTTAAATATCAGTTTTTTTCCCCGAAAAAAATACTTAAATATCAGTTGGTTTTGTTCGAAAAAAAGACAAATATCGGTCGGTTTTGTTCGATTAAGAGATTTAAATATTGGTCGTTTTGTTCTAGTTATAGATTGAAATATCATTCGGTTTTGTTTGATAAAAAGACTTAAATATCTGTCTTTTTTTTTTTTTTTTTTTTCATTTTGTTTGATAAAAATACTTAAATATCGGTTGGTTTTGTTTGGAAAAAAGATAAATATTGGTCTGTTTTGTTCGATTAAGAGATTTAAATATTGGTCATTTTGTTCTAGTAATAGACTTAAATATCGGTCGGTTTTGTTCGAAAAAAAGACAAATATCGGTCCGTTTTGTTCGATTAAGAGATTTAAATATTGGTCGTTTTGTTCTAGTAATAGATTTAAATATCGGCCAGTTTTGTTCGATTAAGAGATTTAAATGTCAGTAAATTTTTTAAATGATTCGCAATACACGATTCGAAGTCCCGATCTGAATCAAAAGATTTGCAAACCTGCTCTGAAGTGCCAATTTGAAACAAAAGATTCACAATATGCGATCCGAAGTCCCGATTCGAATCAAATGATTCGCAATACGCGATACGAAGTCCCGATTCGAATCAAATGATTCGCAATACGCGAACCGAAGTCGATCTGAATCAAAAGATTTGCAAACCTGCTCTGAAGTGCCAATTTGAAACAAAAGATTCACAATATGCGATCCGAAGTCCCGATTCGAATCAAATGATTCGCAATACGCGATTCGAAGTCCCGATTCGAATCAAATGATTTGCAATACGCGAACCGAAGTCCCGATTCGAATCAAAATGATTCGCAATACTCGATTCGAAGTCCCAATTTGAATCAAATGATTCGCGATACGCGATTCGAAGTCCCGATTTGAATCAAATTATTCGTGATATGCGCTCCAAAGGCCAAAGAATCGAACAAGGGGCCGACGCTTCATGAAGCAGTGTTTCAGAACTTATTCATCAATACATGAGAGCTCGCCTTATTTGCGTGTCATCGAACATATGAATGAACTCTTTGCTTCAGGGAGACAATTTATTTGTAAAAAAATTTATTCTTAGATATTTCTATTTTGCGGCAGTAAATAAAATATTTTTTTATAAAATACAATTTCCGATTTTCTACTTCAAAATTTCATGTCCAATGTGTTACTTGCCGATTCTGTGTAATTATTTGTGAAATCTACTAGGAATTTCTGAGTGAAAATTGTTTATACGCAATTTATTTCAGTGTAGAACAAATAAATTAGTTCAGTCAAACAGTTTTTTAAACTTGTTCATCTTTAATGGAGACAAACATAGAAAGGAGGAACACACTGATATGCAGAGGGAATCTTTATGAAGTAGCACTTCTTATGTTCAAGATAAATGTTTTTCATTCATACAGTAAGTCAGAAAGATCTCAGAAGAGAGAAAGGCACTACAAGGAAACAGATGAAACTCTCAAACAGCAAACAACCAAAAAGACACTTGAACTGAACAAGAACTCACAGTATAAAAATATATCTCTGTGTCTAAGGACAGAAGCTCAAGAGAACTAACAAAACAGGCTCATTTTATTCTCAAACGCATCTGTGTGTTCGACATAACAGCAGGTGAAGAGAGAAGAGGAACTAAACGGCGTCAGAAGATTTCTACATAACATGCATTTATTAACAACAAAAAAGCAAGCGTCTGAAAACACAGATTTCGTTCCAGTGAAAATGCTGTTGCGTGATGACGAAGAAGGTCTTGAGCAGAAACTCACGACCCGACCATGTCATAGACGTAGATGTGATAGTCGTCATCAAACTTGATGAAGTAAACGGAGGGTTTGGCCTGAACCTGCTGGATGATGGTGCCCATCCTCTGCGTGCCGTCCTTCTCACACTCCACCTGCTTCCCAACCAGCGTATCGCACACTTCACCCGGCTCTCTGACCTCCGCCGGATCATCTGATGGAGGAAAGCATTTCATAATGAACACTCACACATCTGAGTCCTACAGAATCAAAGATTCAAATGCCCCAATCTCTTATTCTGACTCTTAAAAAATAAATTTTCCAAAAGAGCTTCTTGCACAGCGATGCCATAGAAGCTGCATTTTTGGTTCCCCAAAGAACCCTTCAGTGAACAGTTTCTAAAAAGAACAATTTTTTCCCCCTATAGAGCCATTAGGACGAATTCAAATTGTGAGTTTGAGACTCTTTGTGAGTCTTTTTGACTGATTCATTACAGTGAATCAGTTAGAGAGTCATTTGATCACACTGTAGTCATTAGACTGATTCAAATTGTGAGTTTGCGACTGTTTGTGAGTGTTTTTGACTGATTCATTACAAGGAATCAGTTAGAGAGTCATTTGTTCATGAGTCAGACTCCACTGTTCACACTGCAGTCATTAGACTGATTCAAATTGTGAGTTTAAGACTGTTTGTGAGGTTTTTATGACTGATTCATTACAGTGAATCAGTTAGAGAGCCATTTGTTCATGAGTCAGACTCCACTGTTCACACTGTAGTCATTAGACTGATTCAAATTGTGAGTTTCAGACTCTCTGTGAGTCTTTTTGGCTGATTCATTACAGTGAATCAGTTAGAGAGTCATTTGTTCATGAGTCAGACTCCACTGTTCACACTGCAGTCATTAGACTGATTCAAATTGTGAGTTTGCGACTGTTTGTGAGTCTTTTTGACTGATTCATTACAAGGAATCAGTTAGAGAGTCATCTGTCCATGAGTCAGACCCCTCTGTTCACACTGTAGTCATTAGACTGATTCAAATTGTGAGTTTGCGACTGTTTGTGAGTCTTTTTGACTGATTCATTACAAGGAATCAGTTAGAGAGTCATCTGTCCATGAGTCAGACCCCTCTGTTCACACTGTAGTCATCAGACTGATTCAAATTGTGAGTTTGCGACTGTTTGTGAGTCTTTTTGACTGATTCATTACAAGGAATCAGTTAGAGAGTCATCTGTCCATGAGTCAGACCCCTCTGTTCACACTGTAGTCATCAGACTGATTCAAATTGTGAGTTTGCGACTGTTTGTGAGTCTTTTTGACTGGTTCTTTACAGTGAATCAGTTAGAGAGTCATTTGATTACGAGTCAGACACCACTGATTCAAATTGTGAGTAGGAGACGCTTTGTGAGTCTTTTTGACTGGTTCTTTACAGTGAATCAGTTAGAGAGTCATTTGATCATGAGTCAGACTCCACTGTTCACACTGTAATCATTAGACTGATTCAAATTGTGAGTTTGCGACTGTTTGTGAGTCTTTTTGACTGATTCATTACAGTGAATCAGTTAGAGAGTCATTTGATTACGAGTCAGACTCCACTGTTCACACTGTAGTCATTAGACTGATTCATATTGTGAGTTTGAGACTCTTTGTGAGTCTTTTTGACTGATTCATTACAAGGAATCAGTTAGAGAGTCATTTGTTCATGAGTCAGACTCCACTGTTCACACTGTAATCATTAGACTGATTCAAATTGTGAGTTTGAGACTGTTCGTGAGTCTTTTGACTGATTCATTAGAGAGTCATTTGTTCATGATTCAGACTCCACTGGTCACACTATAAAGAATCATTTTTGGTTCCCCAAAGAACCTTTCAGTGACCTTTCAGTGACTGAAGAACATTTTAATGATCTGAAGCACCTTTTTGCACTATAAAGAACCTTTAGTGGTTCCATGGATGTTAAAGGTTCTTCACTGAACCATCAATGCCAATAAAGAACCTTTATTTGTAAGTGAGTGTACTGACTCACTCACCTGAATCCGGAAGTATACGAAGGTCCCCGTCTTTATAATCCTGCATCAGCTGGTACATGTACAGCATGGGGTCTTTCTCATAAGTTATGAAGAACCACGCAGGCATGCTGGGAGCCCTGGAGAGCACCAAACCTCTCCACTCATCCTTGGAGCCGTCGTCCGTCTCAAACAGGTGAATCACCGGCCTTCCCAGCAGCAGGTCCGCAAGACGAGTGTCACTGACCCGAAACGAGGCAATTTCCCCGGGGAAAACCTCCAGATTCTGAACCCTCTGATCTTTGAAGATCTCCAGGCCGTAGACGCAGTCCACTCCATCGTACTTGATGAGGTACAGAGACGAGTTCACAGACACTTGGACTAGTACCGTCCCCTTCCACCGAGAGACAGGACTGTAGACGTCTTCCTTCCAATTGTGTTGTATTTGACAGCCCACAATGCTTTCACTGAGAGACGCAGCAGGACTGCAGTGATGCATGTGTTTGTGCCTGATAAAACACAACAGAGCATTACAATAATTTGCTCTCGTTATGTCAGGAAATACAGCCAGAACTTAACCAGATCTTCATTCAATTTTCAGTAAGCTAGCTGTTGCCCTTAGAAGTTAATCATTAAAATAAAAACTAAAATGTAAATAAATATTTTTTTTTTTTTATATAAGATATAATTTTTTTTATAAAAACTACCAAAAATGTGGAAATAATAGATTATAATATATATATATGTAATATATAAAATAAAAACTAAAATATAAATAAATAAATAGTATTGTTTTTTACAAGATATATTTTTTATAAAAAAAAAT